GAGAAGAAACAAACAGGTCGAAGAGGCGGGGATGGGGCCAGGAAAGGTGAGTGTAGGTAGGGAGTTAGGAAGGGGATAGGTCAGTCCAGGGAGGACGGACAGGTCAAGGGGGCGGGATGAGGTTGGTCGGTAGGAGATGGAGGTGCGGCTTGAGGTGGGAGGAGGGGATAGGTGGGAGGAAGAACAGGTTAGGGAGGCAGGGACGAGTTGGACTGGTTTTGGGATGCGGTGGGGGGAGGGGAGATTTTGAAACTTGTGAAATCCACATTGATACCATTGGGCTGCAGGGTTCCCAAGCGGAATATGAGTTGCTGTTCCTGCAACCTTCGGGTGGCATCGTTGTGGCACTGCAGGAGGCCCAGGATGGACATGTCGTCTGAGGAATGGGAGGGGGAGTTGAAATGGTTCGCGACTGGGAGGTGCAGTTGTTTGTTGCGAACCGAGCGTAGGTGTTCTGCAAAGCGGTCCCCGAGTCTCCGCTTGGTTTCCCCGATGTAGAGGAAGCCACACCGGGTACAGCGGATGCAGTATACCACATTGGCAGATGTGCAGGTGAACATCTGCTTGATGTGGAAAGTCTTCTTGGGGCCTGGGATGGGGGTGAGGGAGGAGGTATGGGGGCAGGTGTAGCACTTCCTGCGGTTGCAGGGAAAAGTGCCGGGTGTGGTGGAGCTGGAGGGGAGTGTGGAGCGGACAAGGGAGTCACGGAGAGAGTTGTCCCTCCGGAAAGCAGATAAAGGTGGGGAGGGAAAGATGTCTTTGGTGGTGGGGTCGGATTGCAGATGGCGGAAGTGTCGGAGGATGATGCGTTGGATCCGGAGGTTGGTGGGGTGGTACGTGAGGACGAGGGGGATTCTTTTTTGGTTTTTATTGCGTGGACGGGGTGTGAGGGATGAGGTGCGGGAGATGTGGGAGACACGGTTGAGGGCGTTCTCGACCACCGAGGAGGGGAAGTTACGGTCCTTGAAAAACGAGGACAACTGAGATGTACGGGAGTGGAATGCCTCATCCTGGGAGCAGATGCGGCGGAGGCGAAGGAATTGGGAATAGGGGATAGCATTTTTGCAGGAAGGTGGGTGGGAGGAGGAGTATTCTAGGTAGCTGTGGGAGTCGGTGGGCTTGAAATGAATATCGGTTTCTAGGTGGTTGCCCGATATGGAGACAGAGAGGTCCAGGAAGGGGAGAGGGGTGTTAGAGATGGTCCAGGTAAACTTAAGGTCATACTTTTTGGGAACTGGGCCAACTGATCCATTATCCACTTCACTGTCAGGACAGATTACCTGAAGGTGCTAGGAATATGGTTCGGAAGGGATGGGGCAAGTGCAAAAACGTGGGAGGAGTGTATTGCTAAGGTGAGGCAGAAACTGGGCTTTTGGGAGCACTGCTCCCTCTCCATTGCAGGTTTAAAACCTGGTCATCAGGTGTGAGGTACTCTCTGTTATTGTACATGGTGCAGGTCTGGCCCATTCCCAGAACTGCACCGTTGCAGTTACTGAGCCAACTTCCACTTCATCTGGAGGTCATGGAGGCCAAGATGGACCACGTCCACAAGTACACCATGTACAAAACTCTGGATGGGGTGGGGGAAAATGTGCCCATGGCTGCCCTCGTCCAGATGGCCACCTTTGTGTGCAGATGCATCAAGCTGCGCATAGACTCAGTACACAAACACCACGTGTCATGACATACTGAAGTTCTATCTGTCCCTGGTGTTGCGAAGCATGGTTCTGGCCCCATTGCCATGGAATGCTCCAAGTAGTTGGACTGTTTCATATCACCTGTCCTTCATGGAGAAATTTGTAAGGAAAAACATCTTTGACCACAAGTCCATCAGTTTAGTGGTCAGCACATAGCGTCCTCGAGACCCTGCGGGAAAAGGAGAGGATGGATCCTGTCATGTGGCTCCCTGAGCAGACCGTCAAAGTCATTTGGCAGAATGTCTCATCACCAGAACTTTCCAACAAGCTCCAAGACATGGCTTAGCTGATGGTGAGAAGGGCACTATCCTGTGAGATCCTTCATGTACTCCCAGTCAGTCTGCTGCTCTCGAAGCAGTTGCGGGGGGGTTGAGACTGTCATACATCTCCTACTGGAACGTGCCTTTGCAAAGGAAGTCTGGAGAAAGATGCAGTGGTTTTGTCAAGGTTTGCCCTGAGCGGCTCCGTGATGCTGGACGCTGTTCTCTAGGGACTGTTCCCCAGGATGTACACTGAGGCAAACATTGACAGTGCCTGGAGGATCACCAACTCAGTGAAAAAAAAGGATGCTCTCTGGTCTTCCAGAGCAAGAAGTTAACCTTGACAAAGTGTTGCAGACTGGTACATTCCAAGGTCTAGGACTAAATGCTGAGAGACACATTAAAGTTTGGGGCTGCTGCTGCTGCTGCTAAGGAACACTGGGGAAAGACCACTGTCTAAGGTCTCTCTGCCGAAGTTAAATGGGGATCTGTTCAGTTATGAGACCATTCTCGTGCCTCAAATATATTTAAATACAGTCTTGTACAAGTAAGAAATGCCTTTGGTTTGTTCACTGGATATAGTCAAACTCTAATGTTTGTTTCTTCATATGCTACTGTACAGAACCAAACTTCTTAAGTGACTATGTATAAAACTTTATGAATAAAGTATGTTTTTGAAATAAAAAGTGTGTGGATTCCAGTTTATTCTAGATTAAGAATCATGCAAACTTACTTCACTACAAAGCCTAACAGCTGACGAGGAGATTGTTTCATTCATATAAGGAGTTAAATTCAAGCCCAGAGGTGAATAACTCATTGCACCATCTAGTGAAGCTAAAAAGATTTTCAAATAAACAAAAGCAAGTTAGCACAGGTAACGAGAAACAACTACATGTTGCAATCTATAGCACAGAACTTTGAGAATCCTACCTCTGCCCTGCGGGTGCTTATTAACTTAAAAATGTTGGCAGGCAGGATTTGTGTGTAAGGGAGATTCCACGTACTAATATTGCTCAACACCAACCTACAGAGTTAAAGTTGCTGGCATTCTTGCCTGGCATGGGATGTGCCTTCTCCCTACCTCCTCTGCCATAAAATAATGGCATGAGCGAAAGAAGGCCACAAATTAGCCACTTAAGAATACTAACAGACTCAAGGATGACTGCCTGACACCTTCTCCATTCCCACTGGGAAATTTCAAACAGGTGGGAAAGCCACATACAGGAATTTGCAACCTCTCCCCCTTCAAACTGGCCAGCGGAAGAGCATAAAATCCACCCCCTCCGTTTATATTGCTAAAATCACCTTACTTATTGTAGCAGCGGAAGTCTAGACCAATATATTAAGAGGGTTTCTAACTCAAGATGCAGAATAAGATCAAGATAAACAAGGGAACAGATGTATGGTTATTTTTCCCAAAATCTAAAACTGACTAGCTAATGTGAAAGCATCTTATTTGAATCTGCAAATACTAACAATTAATCCAGCAGAGATGCTGTAGTGTTCTGGATTAGCAAACAAGAGGCCCAGGCTAACTCAGACACCGATTCCAATCCCACCATGGCAGCTGGTGGAATTTAACTTCAATTAACAGGAAATGAAATCTGTCATCTTTACTTAGTCTAAACTACATGTGACCCTACACCCACTAGCAATGCGGCTGACTCTTAAATACTCTTCACAAGTCAATCAGATGCTCACAGATTACATATTCAGACATAGACACAAATATCTTTATTAAATATTCGAATATATGTAGTGAACACACAGTGAAAAGAAGCAGCAGATTTGCAATATCAAAATGAACATCATGACTATAGATTACTTTCTGCACACACCAAACACTTTCAATGATAGAAAACACTATTTGTCTTGTACTTTGAGCAAAAATAAATAACTCCTTAGACCATAAAACAATTTAATAAGGAGGAAAAACTGGAGTGTTTAGCCATTTCCTTCCACAAAGTAACATCAGTCCCTCACTGATCTCTGTTGCAGAAGCGGTGAAAAAGTTTCTCCTTTGCTATCAAAGCAAACATTTTACACACTTATCTGCTGTAAGTATTGACACACCAACTGACCTCAATGCCCCAACTTCTGAAATGCAATGGCAGCAACCCAAAGGCAATTGCGTTATCATTACATAAACTTCACTGAATACAATACTGAAAATGAAATAATGAACTAGTAAGTTGACAGATACAGGCAACAGAAGCCCAGTGTCTGAAGGACATTATAGCTCAGGCACATTGATTTACAATTGTACACATCTGCTCAATCAATATTCAAATCTTCCTGCTCTCATTAGTGGAACAACTTTTTTTGCTTGATTGTATCATTTTTTGAAAATTCTAACCCTTAATTTCATATTCAGAATTCCAAGATTATGGTTAAAATCAAAGCAGGAAACAAAATAAAAATTTGCAGCGGTGAAGTGAATCAAATCTGCTCTAATCTAATAACACAAAACTGAATGGAACCAAATGATGTGATACAAACCATGCTCGCACCTACAGAGTGGGAACATAACCTCTGACTTTAACCATTCAGTTTGAAATGCAAGTGTAAGGGTCATATCAATGGGGCACACAGAATACCCAGATTCAAACATATTTGAAATAAACTGCATACATTTCAGACCCAACAATAATACTTCACTCTATTCTAAACTAGAAAATCAGATTTCTGAAAAAGTTAGCCTAGAAAACTTCAAAAATGTTGGGCTAATCAGACTGCATTTCTGAAACAGAATATGGCTGAGCTTGCCAGATTGTTCTCCTTGGAGTGTTGCTGTCTGATGCAATATTGTAAATAGAGGAAGAAATGCAGGCAAGAGGAAGGCTTAAAGAACAAGCCAACTTACTGAAACACATTAAAGCTTAATCAACTGCTCAGAAATCAACGTTTCTCAAAAGTTGAACTTTAAAAAAAACAGGAAGTTTTGACTCTGATTCTCTTGCTTGTTCAAGAGCTCTTGTATCAATATTAAGAATCTCTCATCTCACTCTTCCAAAATACAAACTAGTGTTCAAAACTACATTACCTGAAGCACAGAAATACTGATTAACATGACAAGGAAAAACAATGCAACAGTATGATTTTAAAACAGAACTCAAAAACAACAAAAAAAAAGTGTTGACTGCAAACAATCGTCTTTCCCTGGTCTTCAGCTGCTTTCGGAGGCAGTCAGTTTGCCAATGACGTACATAGAAAGGCATGTGGCTGACAGAATGATATGCAAATAAACTGGAAAAACCCAGAATTGCTCCAATGAAGTTGTCTGGCAGACACAAAAGGTTACACCACAGTAAGCTTGACATCACTGGATCACAGAAACTCCAGAGGGTAAAACGTATACTTCCAACAACTAATTTAAGGTGGCCCAACCTGTCCAGAAACAGTAATACAAAACCAAAATACTGCAGATGCTGCAAATACTCAGCAGTTAGATAGCATCTGTAAAAAGTGAAAAATTAGTTAAGTTACTAATCAGTGATGCTTCATTAGAACTGGGATACAGATGCAATCAAGTTTTAAGCAAGTGAAAGGGGAAAGATTGGCAAAAGAACAAGAGGCACAACAGCATAGAAGACAAGATAGATTACATGATTAGGAAACAGTAGATTAGTTGATGGTACCAGACCAAAAAGATTGGCAATGGGATAAGTAAAGAAAAAAAGACGTTGAGAAGAGATGTGAATGACAAAATGATGAACAGCTGCAACTCAAATGAAAAAAATATATAAAATCAGAACAATATTAAATGGAAGGTTTCTTATTTGGAACCTGGTTGAGGTTACCTCTCCCCTTGCTTCAAGCTAGGTGACCCTCAGGTTAAACTACCAGCAGTTGCCTCTGTCATGAGACAGCAGCCCTACGGTCCGATAAGTCTATGGTGACTTATTTGGAAACTGTGCCCCCTAATTCTAGATTCCCTTTTGAGGAACAGCTCCTAAGCACTGGATGTCAAGACCATTCAGACTTTTGTATGTGCAAGAACTTGCAGTCTGAATCTCCTGAGCTGCTATGTTCTTCCTCATTAGACAAGCTCTTCACCCCAGGAATCAATGTGGTGAATATTCCCTGTACTGCTTCGAGAGCAAGTAGATCCCTGCCAATTAACGATATCAAAACTGTAACTGTAGGCTTTGTGTCATCTTCACAACATACTTACCACAGTAAACTGGGAAAATTTGTTAATGGGTGAAACAACTGAAGAACAGTGGAGGGTGTTTAAAGGAACATTTAACATGATACAACACCAGCTTATACCAAAGAAGGAAAGACTCCATTTCACAGAAAATACTGTCCTGGATAACTAAAGAGACAACAGACAGCCTAAAATGAAATGACTTACAAAAATACAAAACAGCACAGATCATGTGGTTGATTCTGAACTACCCTCTAGGCAATTAAGGATAAGCAATAAATGCTGCCTAGTCAGCAATGCCTCATCCTGTTAATGAATAATAAAAAAAAGAAGCAATGTTGACCCATCAGAGACTGAAAGTGGGGACATTGTCAATGACTATGGGAAAATGGCAGCGATGTTGAATAATTACTTTTCCTTCGTATTTACAATAGAAAAGGAGGATCGCTTGCCGGAAGTCATAAGGAAATTAAAGGTGGATCAGGGACCGGGACTAAATACAATTAACACAAGTAAAACACAGAATTAAAGAATGACAAGTCCCCGAGAGCTGACGATTTCCATCACAGGGTGTTAAGGGAAGTAGGGGAGCACATTGACTATGCCCTAGCTATAATTTTTCAGAGTTGCCACTATACAGGAGTCATCCCTCTGGATTGGAGAACTGCACATCACTGTACTTTTTCAGAAGGGTGAAAGAGAAAAACCAGGGAATTACAGACAGCTAGCCTAACATCTGTGGTAGGGAAATTGTTGGAGACTATAATCAAGGATTGGGTAATTTTTGAAAAACTTTAGTTAATCAGAAACAGCCAACATGGATTCATGGCAGGTCAGTCATGCCTTACAAACCTAATTAAACTTTTAAGAGGTGATGAAGGTAGTGGACAGGGGGATATCTGTGGATGTTGTTTACATGAACTTCCAAAAGGTATTTGATAAACTCCCAGTTAACAGACTGTAAACTAAAGCAAAAGCCCACGGAATTGAAAGCAAATTACTGACATGGCTGGGCATTTGGTTGTGTGGCAGGTGACAAAGTAGGGATGATGGATAGGTACTCAAATTGACAGAATGAGAAAATGGTGTCCCACAGGGATTGGTGTTAGGGCCTCAATTATACACTTTATTTATTAATGACTTGAATAAAGGCATGTATCCAAATTTGCCGATGACAGAAAGTTGGATGGTATTGTAGACAGTATAGATGATATCATAAAATTACAGAGGGATATTGATAGACTAGGTGAATGGGCAGAAATGTGGCAGATGGAGTTCAGTGTAATCAAATGTGAGGTTATCTATTTTGGATCAAAAAAGTATGGATCAGGATACCTTCTAGATGGTGTGAGGTTAAAGGCAGTCAATGTGAAAGAGACTTGGGGGTTCAGGTGCATAGATTTTTAAAATGCTATGAACTTTAACCAAACCGATCAGGAGAGATGTTGGGATGCACTTTCTACACATAGAGGATAGACGTTTGGAACTCTCTTCCACAAAAGACAGTGGATGCAAGATCAGTTGTTAATTTTAAATCTAAGATAGATAATACCTTTGCTTAACAAAAAATTAAGAACTATGGGCTAGAAGCAGGAATAAGGCCACCAATCAGCCATGATCTCATTGAATAGATGGAACAGGCTCAAGGGGTTCAATGGCCTACTCGTCTCCATATGCTCCTACATATGTCCCTATCTACCGTTACATTTTCCGGAAATTTGGCTACATTATACTCATTTCCTTTATACATGTCATTTAATATAGATTACAAATAGTTGAGGCCCCACCCAAATCTGCGGTATCTCTAGTAATAGTTTGCCAATTTAAAGTGACCGTTTGCTCTGATAGTCCATTGTCCTGTCTATACTAATTTTACCCCGAACACAATTAACTCTGATCACAGAATCATAGAAACCCTACAGTGTGGTAACAGGCCCTTCGGCCCAACAAGTCCACACCGACCCATTCCCCTATGACTCACCTAATCTACACATTCCCGAACACTATGGAAAATTTAGCATGGCCAATCCACCTAGCCTGCACATCTTTGGACTGTGGGAGGAAACCAGAGCACCCGGAGGAAACCCACGCAGACACAGGGAGAATGTGCAAACTCCACACAGACAGCCATTTGAGGGTGGAATCAAAGCCGAGTTCCTGGCACTGTGAGGCAGCAGTGCTAACCACTGAGCCACCGTGCCACCCCTAATTATCTTTTTAAGTCAACTCTTATCATATACCTTTAGGAAATCCAAATATACAACATTTGTTGGCTCCCTTTTATCCAGCTTGCTTGTTATATCCATAAAACATGAAAAAGATTGTCAAACAGGATTTGTTTCATAAAACCATTTTTACTCTATCTGATTGCATTACTATTTTCTAAATGTCTCATTACTACGATTCATTTCTACTCATTCAATAACAGATTCCAACATTTTCACAAAGACATTTGTTAGTCCAACTAGCCTTCAGTTTCCTACTTTATGTCTACCTCCTTTCTAGAATAGAGATGTTTCTTTTACAGTTTTCTAATCAGCTCTAGATTTGGTTTACACTGAGGAGGTCAAATAGAAAACAGAAGACCACTTTGCAAAACACCTCCACTCAACCCAAACTTTGCCAAGCTTCCAGAATCCTGCCATTTTAATTCTCCACCTAGGTCACATGCAGACCTCTCCAACTACAGCTTCCTACAGTGTTCTCACAAAGGCCAACACTTGAGCAACAACATCTCATCTTTCGGTTAGGCACTTTGCAGACTTCCAGACTCAATGAGGAGTTAAACAAATTCAGATCTTGGCATCCATTCTTTTTTTTCTTTTCAATTGTAGGACTTCAGCTACATTCCCATTTCATTTGTGGTTATGTCTATCTATCATTCTGCCATTCACACCTCCACTAGATGCTGCTTTTATTTCTAGTCTCTTTACCAATGCCCTTAACCTAGCTCTGTCACTTCTCATTACTTCATCTCTCCTATCTTCCACCCTATCTCTGAGCTATCCTTCGGCTTTTGTGGCACCACCCAGCTTCACTTCACTTGCTTAATATCTATTGCACATCTAACTTTTCCTAGTTCTAGTGAAAGATCACTGGTTTGAAATGCTAACTTTGTTTTTCTCACTTCATAGATCCTGCCTGACCCACTGAAGATTTCCTCCATCAAAAAAAAGTGTTGTCAAGGGCAATAAGCAAACAATGAGGTTAGCTGCACGGGAGAAATAAATTTAAAATCAATCAATTCAATCTTGAAATATTGGTGAAGTGAATCTTGCAGAAATAATTTAACCAGGTGATAAATTCTTTATCAGTGTGTAATAAACTGAACAGTATATTGGGGCAGGGTTAGAAACAGGACATGATTTTCCATAACAGACTGAGCATTTGTGCAGTGGGTGATTCACGAAGATAAAAAGTGCTTAAACTCATTACTGCTGCTCCTCTTCCTCCTCCTCAAGGTTACTGATACCAAAGTTTCTTGTTTGTTACACATATAATCAGATCCAGACCACAGGACTATCTTACATCAAACTACAGCATTCTTTCTAAATTTCAAAAGTACTCAGTTTTTTGAGTATTATTTTGCTACATCTGAGCTCAAGAGCTACAGGGCTGATACTCAAAGTAGAAAAACAGTGGTATACTTCAGCTTGAGAAACATGACATTATCATGATATGGAATAGGAAACATACTAATTTTAAATAAATCTCATCTTTTAATTTTGATCTGATTATTAGTTTTTCATTATTTTTACACAAAACTGATTGTCAAATTGCATTCTTTACATTTTCACTTACAAGCAATAATTCTCCAACTGGACTAAACTAAAAGGAGCAAATCTCCATAAAATATTATCCTTCAATAAGCAAGATCAAACGTTGAAAAGTCAGTCAGTGGCCAGAGTAACAAAGGATCAAAATCACTGTATTTGCAGTCAGTGTCACACAATAATCTGTATAGTCACAGTGAAGCAATTCTAAGGCAATGAAATTGAACAAATACAATTATTGCATCTAATTAGT